ACCTACTGTACAGCAGAGCGACACCCACTTGCCCACCATTTTTAAAATTATGTACCCGCGTTAGGTTTGTTAATTCTTAGTTGTTTTACTTTATTACTTTACTTTACTTTAATATTAACATTATTATTTATTATTGAACGCCGCTAAATCTAAAACCATTAAAATAGTTATTTCTATGGAGTGATGCCCGCAGCTCATGGGTGCTAGTGGTTGGGGTGCGACTCGAAATATAATAGCGGTAGTCATAGGTGTAACAAATTATTTAAATATACGAAAATATAAATCTTACTAGTCGTTAATATAGTAAGTAAAAGTTTACAAGGTCCAGATGTAAATTTGGATATTTCTTCAGAATTACTAAATGGACTAAGATATTTGTGCCTATGATTTAATTGAAGAACTTTTGATTTGCCAAAACATTATCGATAAATCGGTAACTCCTATTGAAGTTCTTAATTTTATAAAAAAAAAAAGCAATGGAGCCTTTCCAAACTTAGCCGTGGCTCTTAGGATAATGTTAACAATTCCTATAACTTCAGCTAGCGCGGAACGTAGCTTCTCAAAGTTAAAGCTTATAAAAACGTATTTGAGAAGTACTATGTCCCAAGAGCGTCTTCTGGCTTAGCTTTATTAGCTATAGAAAAAGAAGAGTCCGAAAATTTAAATTATGATAAAGTAATTGAAGATTTTGCGGCTAAGAAGTCTAGAAAAATTAAGTTTAAATAATTTTTTAAGATTTTATGTAATAAGTATTTTATATAAGTAATAATTAAAAATAAACTAATTTTAACGCGTATTGACTTATTATTTTTGTATTTTAGTTTATTTAATTTTTACGATTAAAATATTTTTCTTTTAAATACCTACCTAAATAATTATTAAGTTGGTAAAACTCAGGGTCAAAGGAAAACTCAACTTTATTATAACAATAAATACTTTTCTTAATAAATTATTAAGATATTAAATATAGGTATTAGGTAGATAAAGGATATTAGAAATTATATTAATATTATTATAGGTGTATAATGTATAAATAATCATTAACTGTATATTTAAGTAAATTATTATGAAAATTAGGTTATTTCTTCTTTGGTGGAGAGTGGGGGTGTTAAATATTCCATATATTGAAGGCCTCACGGAATGTATTCCGCCCAGGGCCTCGCAAAACCTAACGCCGGCCCTGCTTACAAAATACGTCGTATCAACTACAACGTTTATTTATATAAAAAATATACTTTTATGAAATATTAATTCCGTTTATTAATAGGATAATCAAATTCGCTAGTTTAACTATTTCACTTATTTAAGTAATAAACCATTTATTTATCGTTTTAATATCATCAATTATTATTTTAATAAATATATTGTGTACAACTGATGAGTAAATTTTAATTGTGTCCACAAACACAAGTTTATAATATTAACCACAATTATTATTAATCAATAAGCAACATTTTGTTGAAATAGTAAAAAAAATCGTTGTGTCAAAAAAAATGATCAATAAACGGTGTTTATTTTTATTATGAACATCTTTTTTTTCAGTGTACCTACCTATTATTTTAATTTGTCAGTAATTTTTTTTTTCATATTTTAAATGGCAACTTATTTGTTGGTTATTTAAATTAATTATTCTTCTCAATTCATATTTTAAAGAAATTGTGGAAAATAAAGTAATTGATAATTTGGACATGCCAATTCCTGGTACATCAGATGAGGCAGATGAGCAGTGTGCTTTACCAGCTGCTGGTGAGTAATTACTAAATAATATTTATTTTTAAAATACATTTTAGTCTGATTGGAAATAAGGTCATTTTTATTTTACATAGCCCATAGGTATTTTTCATAAATTAGGGGAATAAATTCGGAAATTCTAAGCACTAAAGCAGAGTATTGATTCATTTTTTTTTTTGACATTCATAAAATTATCTAAATTGACTATAATAATACTATTATGATACACCAAATTTAGTCAAATTAAATTGATAGCAGATATTTTATTTATTAATGATAGAAAAAAATTAATCAATCATCATTTATTCTATTAGTAATTTTTTCATTTTTAAAATACTCTTATTTTCTAGTTATTTAAGTTAATTATTCATGGTCATATTATATATTTATAGAAATTGTTGTTAATGAATACAAAGTTGTTGATGATTTGAACATACCGATTCCTGGTACATCAGATGAGCTGTGTCCTCTACCAGCTCAAGGTATAATGTTATAACAATCATTTAATTCTAACAATTAAGATTCCAATTGTAATTAGTATCATAATATTATGTAATATAGTTTTAATATTTCAGGTTAAGCTCATTAAAACACGACTACGCTCAACAATGGGGCAATCTAGATTGGAAAGTTTATTGATTCTTTCCTGTGAGAGGGATAAGAAAATAAATATTGAAGATGCAATTAATACTTTTGGAAATTCATCAAGTCTTCTTAAAAAATGTTTAATGTATTCCTAGTTTGAAAATTTGTGTGGGATTTGTAACATTATTTTTTGTCGATCATAATGACATTACTAATTATATTATACCATCATCTTTATACATTATTTTATTTTCATTATTTAAGCGTTTTACTATTTCTCTTAGTATATGTAATACTATGTAAGTTATACTAATTATATATTGGGCACATCCTATTTTTTTCTTATAAATGAATAATGTGGTGGTTTTACGGGGGTGGTCCAGGGGGACTGCTCCCCTCCCCCCGGTCCTCGATTAGGTTTTATGTCTTAATATATTATAAGATATTAATATTAAAGGACCGCCCCCCCCCCCAGGAAAAATTCATGAACCGCCACTAAATAAATATATGTATAGCCTCTTCCAAAATATAAAATTCTAGTTTTGTCTAGAGGTGTGAGTTAAAATATATTATTTTAATAAAAATTTGGGGGTGGGTGGGTATAGATCAAATGGACATGTTGCTGTCCCATTCATTAAAATAGTTCGCGCCGCCACTGGGCACGGGAGAGTCCCGTTGTCGCTGAGTGATTCGGCGAGGACGTAGGGGTAGGTACGACGGTTGTACGTGTGAAACGTCGATCGTAGTACGGGCTAGACAATTTGAATTTGCTAAGTGTTTCATTTATATTTGTTTTAATATAATAAAAGTGTTTCCGACCTAAAAACCCGAGTTGACTATTATTTCAAAGTCTTCTTCGTTCTTACCTTTAATATTGGAACAGTGCTCGGACCCACACACCTATAGTCAATGAGGTTTATTTCAAACTGAACAGTGCTCTGGTTGTGGCGTCCTAATAGTCATTCCAATATAGGAAACGGACGAAGAACTGACAAAACGCATACCATCGTACCTCAAAGGTTAACAGTGCTAATCTGAATTTATTCTAGAGACAGTCATTAGCCTAGAGCGTACGAGGGTAAGGACGGTAAGGTATAAAGTTGGTTTACCGAGTATTATCCAATACGGGTGATACCACAGTATATTCTAATCTAAAATTTGTCTACCTAGATTAAAAATACATAAATTTAATGTATAAGTGATATATGATAAAACAGAAGTTACCTAACCTACCAACAATAATAAATAATATTACTATAGGTATAAAATGTGAAAATATAAAGAAAAATCCTGAAAAACACTAAAACAATTGTAAGTTTGAGGTGCTCTTTTTAAACCCATAGATAATCCATGTTTATCATCATTTAATTGAGCTTAAAATTATTTAATTAGTTTCTGTTGTGTACCTACAAATCATATTAAATAAAATTAATCATTACTTATGTATTTTATTATGCTATTTTAGGTACCTAACTTATATAGGTAGGAGTGCCTAATCATTCATTTTAAATTTTAAAAATTATTCTACTACAACAAATTAAGAGTTGTAGATATAGTTGTAAAATTGAAGGTATTTTTCATACTATTACAATTTTTGTACAACTAAAACAAATTAATTTTTTAAAATTACTCTGGCGGCCGGCGGGTACCAGCTAGCCTAACAATAAATATTTATTTTAGGTCTAGTCCTCCAAATAAATAAAAGGAACAAACTTATGTAAATATTTATTCTGCCGGTGAAACACATACCATACAAGTCAACAAGTGTATAATATGGTCGTATGTTAGAGCAGCTAATCTCCGCCAAGGGAAATGCAAACTTCTTCACCACCTATCCAAAATTTCAATCTGGAAGTATTTGTGAAAATAGCTTAATAACAATAAGATTATTTATTAATAAGGTTATTTTTTTTACTTAATTTGTGTTTTCTTACTGGAGTTTTATCATTTTTCAAAGAACCAACTAGAACGCATTTTGAGTTTAGGATAGTTCAAATTAAACTTTGTATGGTCTGAAAGTAGTAATGAATGTATAATGAAGGGACAAAGATATGTGTATAATACATATGTGCAATAAGTATAAATTTAAAAAAAAACCATATTTTAAGGATATTTTAAAAGTTATACATATTTGGAAAAACCTTAATTTTGATAGTTAATCAATTATTACTATTTTATTTACTTCTTCAGCATCATAGGGGTTATGTTTTTATAGCTACGGGTAAAGAATGGGTGTCTTACTAAGTACTCAAAGTAATAACTCACCTTCTAGCATCAGCAGAAAAAATCTTTTCAAAGGAGAATTGGTAAGGATGAGATAAATTTCTAAATGCCATGTATACATAACAAAATGCTGCACATTGTAATATTCTTTAATTATTTATACTTATATCATTATCATAAAAAAATAGCACCACAGAATAACATACTTTAAATAGTAGAAATAATTTTATGAAAATGTTTAGTGCAACAAATTACTACTTTCAACTTTTCATTTTTATTGTTTGTTATGGACAAAATGTAACATAAAAACTAACATAATTTTAACTTTTTTATCTTAGTAATCAATTTTAGAAGTAAAAAAAATATTCTTATAGGAATTTTAATTATAGACAACACAATGAACATGTTTTCTATAGACTAAACAAATATAACTTAAATTAAATTTAGGCAAATTAATTAGTTCAATTTTTTGAATTAAAAAATATGATATCATCAGCAGCAATAGATGTAGTTGTTCGAGAAGTACCAGATTCATCTTTTAATTCTCCATAGATTAATCTCCCGCTAATGTGTATACGTTGTCCTTTTTGTAGATAATTGTACACAGTGTCACGCAATCCAGGCCTAAATACAACAATACGGTGCCAGTCAGTCTTTTGTGTGTTTTCTAAAAACAATTATAATCATAATATTAGAGGTGATGAAATAAATAGCATAAACTAAATGTATTGCCTTCATTATTGTTGATATAATTTTGGTGTGTAGCCAATGAAAATACAACAACTGGATGTTCTTCTGTGCCTCGTTTTTGCGGATCCCCACCAACTCGTCCCAAAAGTGTGACTTTATTTATCGCTAGTTAAATAAATTCTAATATGAGTAACCATGTTATAAATAATAGATTATCAGTTATATAAATGAAAAAGTAAACAAAAAATTCATAAATTATAAAAATTTAAAAACCAACTCTTTTCAATTTTGATGGGTAGGGGTGCTGCTTCTTGAGTGTAATTATTGCGAAATAGTTGCTTTGAATAATTAGTACTCCTTAGAATACTGGATAAAATCTGAAATATAAAAATTTGTTTATAAATAACATAAATAGGTTATTAAAAACTAAGACTTTAAAATTAAGTTATTAAAAAAAATTGTAGGTAGTACATATTAATGCTCATAATTATATTGTTAATTTCAATTGGCATAAAATTCAAATAGGTAAATACTATACCCATATTTTAATTATATTAAAATATTAAAATACAGTAATAAAATTAAAAAAATCAACATCACTAAATACCGATTAATAATTATGCATATTAATATATTATAATACACATGTGAATGTAAATTGTAAACGCGTTCTAAGTATAATAATGCAAACTTATTATCTGGATAAAGAACGTGGTCTAGCCCCAGTGTCTTAATTTGGGGGTTGGATAGGAGGGATTTCCTCTGTTTGATAATAAAAACAGTCTGATGGGTCTCTTGTCGTCAATTTACCTAAGACCTGCAGAAAATGTCTTAGTATTTGAGAATATGCTCAATATAAATTCTATATTGAAAATATAGTAAAACCAGTTAATATATTGAATGATTGAATTTTACTTATATTTAGTTATTTGTGCCTATATGGCTGTATGATAAATATGAAAGATGGCAATTGTATTGAAAAAAAAATGTTCTATGTGATCTTCTAGAATATATGTTTCATTAAAAAAGAACTCTTAAATTAATCAAAATAAAATTACACTACACACTTATCAAAAAGTAAAAACATTTAACTACTATTGTAAAGCATACATTATGAACAACTATTTTAACCAATGAACAAACAAACAATGTATATGCTAATTTTTAAGACAACATTTGAATTTACATTTTATTGAAACTGTTAATATTGTTGTACCTACTATGTAAATACACTCAAAGTCCGTATTATACATTCATACTACATTATTATAATATATTTATGGAGTAGGAACTAGGTACTTGTGTATATTTTACCTACCATGCTACTTTCAATTTACTATGAATTTCATTAAAAATCGGAATTTAAAGTTTCACAAGAAAATACTTTTAAATTGTTTTACCTACCTTTGTTTTTAACATTTTCTTATTTGTATTGTATGTGCTTATTACTGAATAGTGTTCTTCTCGTCGGCCTTAAACTACGGCGGTCATCTGCAATATACACTACACAACAGAAACAAACTACATTTATATTGTCAAGTATAAGTATAAGTATAATTATATTTAAACAAGGAAATCAGCAAACCACTAATGTGATAAAATAACCATAAAAATATTGACAAATTAAAGCATATTTTCCAGATTTAAAACAACAATAATTGTCGTTCAATATTTACCAATATTATATTGTATAGCGTTTGTGTACTTGTATTGTTATGACGGCGTTGGTTTACTAATTGCATACAAATTAATACATAAATACAATTTTTCACTTTTCAGTATTTTCGTTTTCACTTTTATTTGGCGCACTCGCGCACTTTAGAACAAAATATATAGGTTCCATTAATTTATATTCACTATAATGCGATTGCTCGTGCTAATTTAAGGTTATGGCTCCAAACGCAGCCAAAAAACGTATGAACGAAAACTACAGAAATTTGGGATTTAAACACCCGGTGGCCGGACGTGTTCAAGGGTTTTACTCGCAACTATCGACTTTCAACAGTTTCAACGCGATGAATACAAGCCGACGGTTGAAAGATAAACAACATTTGTGAACGATTTTTGTGACATAATAATATCATAAGCATTCGGCAACGAATTTATACGGCCGCCATTTCGCCGGGGACCGGGCGCAAACGCGCGCCCCGCCGACTCGACAACAGCTGTTTTATTTCGTCCTGTAGAACAATCTGCGTGCCGAATGTGCCGATATTAGGCGGACCGGTCAAAATCTAAATTGCTGGATACCCACCAATTTCCGTGCGTTCGCCGTATAAATTGTTAACAGTCGTTAATTCCTCTCAATTTGGTGTGGTTTGTGCCGTTTGAACTTCTAACGAACGTCCGATCCGTTCGAATAAAATGTAGTTCGCCACACCAGCGGTGCGCGTTATTATTCTATCGTATTTTTATTATCTTATCGATTTGTTTTTTTTTTTTTTTACAACTACAATATACACCATTCCGTAAAATTATTAAATAATTTTTAATTTGATCAACCTTGAATTACGTATTTACGTGTACAATAAAGGTAGGTAATAATATTTTTTTTTTAAACAAGTTAACTCATTGTATTATTTTTACTGCATCACAGTCCACACAATTGACTAAGTCGCGTTTATGTGATTGTGTACTGTGTAGGAGGTAGGTGTAAACTTGCAATCTATACCTACTTAAAGTTATAATATTCAAAAATTGATCGTCGATAAATTCTAATTCTTATCGAACGTTACTACGCTAGTGCGTTTGCAAGGTATGTATTAGAAACAAAAAACCTATAGCTTACTGTAAGACGATTAGTATTGTATAATATGGATGAGCCTCTATATATATACTTGCACTCAGCAGGCTATACTTCTTGTCGAGTCACCAAATACAATTTGTACCGATTAAGCCATTTGAGTATTATTTTTAAAGTTAATTTTTGTGCTTGTGATAATTGACAATATTCTGCAGTACAAATGTGTGACGCCTAAGTAAAATGTAAAATACGATCCAAAACATATTTTAGGAATCAATTAATATATAATTGATGTCAGTTTTAGCACATGCCATGTTAATAATCATATTCATTTCCCATTTTAATATATTATTTTGGTTTTACATTTTGAAATATGTCAATATGTACACTTTTATGTTGAACAATGAGTACAAATTTGTATTTAACTCTTATCTTATAAAAATATATTGATTTATACTTCAAGGTCATAAATCTTTTTAATTTATATTAGGTAAGACACTTACAAATCCATTTTTTTATATGAATTATTTGCCAATTAATGCAGCATAATATAAATATGTTTATCTAGTAATATAGTACCCACCTAATACATTTGTGTATTGTGTGTACCTATATTATTAATTATTATATTGATAGGTATGTGATTCATATGATTTATTACTGAGGTAATTCTTAGTAATAAAATATGTATTGATAATAAAAATCATGTGAATGTTAAATGTTAACATTACCTATATTTTATATATTGTGTAGATAATGTTCAGCCTAAACATGTAGGTTTAAAACTATAATTATAAATTTAATAATATTTAAAATTTATATTTTTCTTAAAATAATTTTTATTTTCTTGTATTTTTATAAATGAAAAATTCTTTAATTGGATTACATATTATAATATATGTTATCACTTGTATTAGGTATAAGATAATATTCAATATCAAGAAATATTTATATAATATTATAATATTATTTACAGATTAAATTTTATAAATTTTTTGTGATTTGACCTTGATTAAATATTCTTTATTTATAATTCTGTTTATAATATTACAAATGTATATATTTGTATTTTTATAGAGTATACTATTTCAAATCTGTATCGATAAGTCACAATGGGCATTCTTGAAGAGCTTGTAAGTATTTAGAGTATAATATAAATTTAATTATGTAAATAAATATTAAAAAAAGGTGCTCTGCTGTACAGTAGGTTACAAGTGGGTCACTGTATAATGGATAGTATTAAATTTGAATTCAATGATATAATATCATTGTATAAGAAAAACGATTCTGAGCGGAGACTGTATGTCAGTCTAGGTATAAGACATATTATATACTTATCTATCGTATTAAAAAAAATTTACCTAAAATAGGTACCTATAATGAATTCCAAATTAATCATATCACAATATCCATTAGGTACTTATATTGCGTTATACGTCAACAACAAACCCTGATACTATCATAATCATAGTCCATACTCCATAGATATATAATAGTGTACTTTAGAAGTTTAAAGTACCCATGAATAATATGACACAATCACAAAAAAATAACTAAAATAGTTATTCTAGGTTTTTTTTATGTAATTTTGTCCAAAGTTGAACTTAAAATGACTATAAAATAAACTGTGCTTATTTTTTTTTTAGATTTTTTGGAAATAGAATTAACTACTTACGTGGAATCTTGTTTTAAATTTAAAATCCTTAGAAATAAAAGTTAAACATTTTAAAAATATTTAACTACAAAATAATTATTCAATTTTAATTTTCATACATTTTGTCAAAATTCGATCTTTAAATGCTTATAAAAAAAAATTGTGCCCATGTATTTATAATATTTTTTAACTGATATTGTAACAATTTATCAGGAGCCTTTTATTAAATTTTTACATTTTTTGGCTCAACAGATAAAACTTTATTGATATTTATAGAATAAAAAACTAATAAAAATTGGAAACTGAAAATGTCCATAAACAGCTCAAAAAGAGTCAAAATATTTTCAAAATTGTATGGTGTATAGGAAATGCTAATATAAATATTCAGCGATATTTTTATGTATCTACAGTTATTCGTTTTTGAATTAGGTACAACAAAATAAGGAAAACGCCACATGAGAAATCTAGTGAATATCCAATGTTGTAAACACAAGAATTTCAAACGCTCATAAAAATTTAATTTGACCTTCTTATAGACATTTTTTCTTTTGATATATTTAGATAATATTATAAGGAATCTTGTATTACATTTTAAAAGCTTGGATTTAAAAGAAAAATTTTTACGAATTCTTAACTCAAAATTATTGGCTAATTTTAGTGATTTTTCCATATTTTGTCAATTTTTGAACTTTAAATGCTTATAAAAAAAACTGACCAAGGATTTTTAATATTTTTCAAATGCCATTGTAACAATATAGTAAGAGCCTTGTGTTCAATTTTCAAGCTTTCTTAACCAACAAATAAAATGTTATTGATATTTTTAGAAAAAAAAACTAAAAAAAAATGGAAAATGAAAATGTCCCTAAACAGTTCAAAATAAATCAAAATAGGTTGAAGATGTTATCGTGTATAGAAAATGCAAATATAAACAACCAGTGAAAATTTCATGTATATACGTTCCTTTCTTTTAGAGTTGCACCAAAATCCAAAATCGATTCGAAAACAGATTTTAGAGTAAAAATTCCCGTTTTTCCTTAATTTTTATTTTGTTTTTCACCCCGCTTTTGAAAACTACTGGGAAATTTTCAATTTTGACCCCCTCAAAGTACCAACTAGATTCCCTTTCCTATCAGAAAAGCTACTGTTGAAGAAAATCCAAGCACTTTTACTGTCCTAAAACGTGATGACAGACACAAAAAAAAAAAACACATCATTGTAAAATCAATACATTCATCGTTCCACTCAGAATCTAAAAGGTTTTATTATTTTACTACAATGTTAAGTTGTTATCACTTACAATTTATTCAAACAAGTTTACTTAAGTTAACAAATTAACTTAGAATGTAGGGTATAAATCTAGTTTAGCGGCTCCTCGATATTTCGATTTTTTTTTTTTTGAAACATGTAATTCGACGAGTTTAGAACGATGGTGCAAAAATAAATTTGCTGAAATGATTAGTTTTGAAGTTATAGACTTGCGAAGTTCTCTATTTTTGGTGTTTTACTCATGCGCGCAAAGCTCTATTTTAACGCTCTTATAACAAATTTTAAAATTATTTTTTTCGGAAACATGTTAACTGCGTAATCACTGCTCATATACTACAACATAACTTACCCTGTAAGGCTGTAACCTACTTAAGGTGGTGTTTATAGCAAGTCGGGGGATATTTTTCGATTTGTGGAGCGGAGGGACCCCGCCGAGGAGCGCAGCGACGAGTCGTCCCGGTTGCTGTATAATCACTGCCCACATTATAAGAGCGTTAAAATAGTGATTTAATAAAAATATATTCTTAATCTAACAATATTATAAAATAATTTGTAACCATAATATTTTTTTTATTTTTAGTGATTAATCATTTAATTTAATTTAATTCTAAAAATTCTAATTTTTATTTTAATTCTAGTTTTAAAACACCGAAAATTGAGAACTTTGCAAGTCTATAACTTCAAATCTAATCATTTCCGAAAATTTATTTTTGCACCATCGTTCTAAACTCGTCGAATTACATGTTTCAAAAAAAAAAAAATTGAAATTCCGAGGAGCCGCTAAACTAGATTTGTTCCGAATTTACCTTATTTCAACTTTATATCACCCGAACTAATCTAATACAATACAATTGTCCTTTTATATTAATATTACGTTTTATATTCAACATGTTTTATTTATCTAATTTATAAAATAATATTCTTGATAGTATTTATAGGTATATTTATGAACAATATTTGTAGTACAATAAAATTACACTAGTACGGTACTTCCTATATTACACCATTGATTATAAAATAGTTTGAAAAAATACTATTTACCAAATTATATTGAATAAAAGTATTCAATTTATTTTTTAAATAAACCTATTAATTTAATTGTGCCTCTTTCTTTTAAGAAATCTAGACCTCGTGTGATTCTTCCATGAAGATAAACATAACCTTCAACAACTTAAACTTTTGATTTTTATATAATACAAAATTGATAACACATTCCAATTCAACAACAATGCATTGATTCAGCACTATTTTTTAGTTCAATAACTAATTTTTTACCTTTTAGTTAATATCAATATTAATATTTTCTCAATTTGTAATTTTTATAAAGAAAAAATGAGTACTTTTTCTGTTAGAAATTTTTTGTCTACATTTTCGGTAAAAAATTTAATACAATTTAGTTTTTTATCTATGTTTACTTTGAAATAAATGTTTTGATTTCAATCTTTTATTTACTATTATTAATATTTATCTTTTAGACCGTTTCTTCAGTGTTAGTTGGACTTGGAATTGTTGTAACTACTGGTTTTGCTATATCAGCATTTGTAGCCAATTTCCAAAAGAAAAGCCAAAAAAAAAGAACATTAGTGGATTCAAATACAAAGATTCCATTGCCACTTATTCAAAAACATATTATTAGTCATGACACACGGAGATTTAGATTTGAATTGCCATCTAAAAATCATATTCTTGGTAATATTTATTGTGTACTTTAAATTTGTAGATACAATTTATTGCAACACTTTCATTATATAATTATATCAATTCGATACAAGTGTTCAATACATTTTATTTACAATTTAATCATTAGTCATAACATTTGTTATAATTTCATTTGAGTAATTTTAATATAAATACAGAATAGTTAATATAATATATAGATTTAATATTAATTTATTATTATTAATTATTTCCTAAAAAAAATTTACAGGTTTACCAATAGGGCAACATATACATTTATCAGCGAGAATAAATGAGGAATTGGTTGCCCGCGCATATACACCAGTCAGTAGTGACAATGATGTTGGATATATGGATTTGGTTATTAAAGTAAAATATTTTGCATCATTTTAGATGTATCTAAAGTACATATTACTATTTATTTTATCATATTTTTTTTTAGGTTTATTTCAGAGACCAAAATCCTAAGTTCCCTGATGGTGGTAAATTAACGCAATATCTTGAAAAAATGGAAATTGGAGACACAATTGATGTGCGTGGACCTTCTGGTCGTCTCATATATCATGGTCGTGGAGATTTTGAAATTAAAGCTGTTAAAAGAATAGATCCTTCTCATAACCTTTACGCTAAAAAGATATCAATGATTGCTGGTAAAATTACAAATGTTATTAATATTTGATAAATAACTATTCCTGTGTTACAATATTAATTTGTTCTCATTGGGTATGTCAGGTGGTACTGGTATTACACCAATGTTGCAGTTGATTAGACAAGTCACTAGAGATCCTAAAGATGAAACCAAATTGTCATTACTCTTTGCCAATCAGACTGAAGAAGATATATTATTAAGAGATGAATTAGAAGAAGCTGTTAAAAGTCATCCAGATCGAATCAAAGTCTGGTATACAGTTGATAGACCTACTGATGGTAAACTATTACACTTAAATTATGTGCCATATTTTACTCTGTTAAGTGAGAGAACACACAGATTTTGCTCATCCCCACTTAACATCCTGCCATGGAGACCAGTTCCATTATAACAGGTTACCGAGTGGTGATGTGCCGAAAAACTGATTTTTAACCGCGTGTGGTGTGTTCTCTTGCTGGACAGAGCATAATTGTTATATTATATGTTATGTTCATTACTTAATTTTAAAGAAACATATTAATTTCTAGGATGGAAGTATAGTGTTGGATTTATATCATCCGATATGATATCAGAACATCTATATCCACCAGCTCAAGATACATTAGTGTTGATGTGTGGACCTCCTCCAATGATAAACTTTGCATGTATTCCAAATCTTGATAAACTTGGATATGATGCTAAGTTAAGATTTTCTTATTAAAAAAAAAAAAAAAAAAAAAAAAAAAATGTTTTTCATATATATTAGACCGTCCGTAACAGTTTCGAGTTGTATTTGTTGATTCACATTTTGTAATAGATTTTGATCATTGAATGGGTATTTGGTATTTAATAAACATTTAAACCCCTTTATAATGTTGCTAATCAATTGGTGTTAGCACTTAATTTATGTACAAATTGTTTAATCTAGCTAAGCATAATACAATATATTTATATAATATTTCTTCAATATATCTATTTTAGAATGTATTCCAAAACATTAACATTTTAAAGTCTTGTTTTGGTTTACACCAAAAGTGTATATATTCTTATATTCTATATTGTATGTGATGTGTTGTAATAAAGTGTTTCATTTTGAGTATTGAAGTATATAACTATTTGTATGCACTGTAAGAAATTATTAAAACTTTAACGTTTATAATCTTGCATTGTTACGTGTATTAAAATATTATGCTAAAATGTATTACCCTATGTACTCAAAAATTACGATACAACTAGTTATAAATTTTTATTATAATGATAACAGTACATGATTAACAAGTTCTGAGGCAACAATGTAATTGATTAACATTAAATGTATCGTGACACAGACTAAAATATATCTTTATTATTGATATGCTATCAGTATTAATATCATGTCGGGAACAGAACGTAAAAATAGCTACTGTAGCAATTATTAATATCAAAATATATAATCTATTATAAATATGCAAAGAAAACACAAAAATTAAAAAAAAAAAAGGTGGGCAAGTGGGTGTCGCTCTGCTGTACAGTAGGTTACAAGTGGGTCACTGTATAATGGATGGTATTACATTTGAATTCAATGATATTATATCATTGTATAAGAAAAACGATTCTGAGCGGAGACGGTATATCCTTCTAGGTATAAGACATGATATTATACAGGGTGATTTTTTTATCGAAGAACACTCATTATTTCAAAAAGTATTATTGTTTAAGAAAATATTTTTTTACATAGTTTCAAGTTGTTAAAAAACAATATTTTTATTAAAAAATTATATTTTTAAATATTTTTTATCCTTTTAATTTTTTAAGTTTTTTACTTTTTTGAATGACAACATCTAATTTTAATTTGATATTCAAAAACAGAATATTTTTCTGATTATTTTAATACATAAAAATTGAATTTAGGGCAAGTAGTTTATGAGTTATAAGTATTTAAAGTTTAGATGAGCGGAGTAGAGGACAAACATTTCGCGGGGTAACCCCGAACCACTCCACTCCGCTCGTCTAAACTTTAAATACTTATAACTCATAAACTAATTGCCCTAAATTCAATTTTTATGTATCGAAATACTCAGAAAAATATTCTGTTTTTGAATATCAAATTAAAATTAGATGTTGTCATTCAAAAAAGTAAAAAACTTAAAAAATTAAAAGGATAAAAAATATTTAAAAATATAATTTTTTAATAAAAATATTGTTTTTTAACAACTTGAAACTATGTAAAAAAATATTTTCTTAAACATTAATACTTTTTGAAATAATGAGTGTTCTTCGATAAAAAAATCACCCTGTATACTTAGTATATATAGATATTCTAAATTAATCATATCACAATATCCATAAGGTACTTATAACGCGTTATACACCAACAACAAACCCTGATACTATCATAGATATATAGTAGTATACTTTAGAAGTTTCAAGTACCCATAAATAATATACAATCACAACAAAATAACTAAAACAGTTATTCTAGGTTTTTTATTATGTAATTTGGTCCAAATTTAAATTTAAAATGTCTGTAAAAAATAACTGTGTTCATATATTTTTTAGATTTTTTTGTTACAGTATGAACTATTTATGAGAACCTTTATTTTGAATTTGCAATCCTTAGCTATAAAAACTGAACATTTTATAATTTATTAATTACAATGATTGATAATTTTCGAGATTTTGATAAATTTTGTCAAAATTCGATCTTTAAATGCTTATAAAAATAAATTGTGCCTATGTATTTTTAATATTTTTCAATTGCTATTGTATTAATATATCAGGAGCCTTGTATAGTTGTATTACATTTTTACACTTTTTGGCCCAACATAAAACTTTATTGATATTTATAGAAAAAAAAATTTAAAACTGAAAATGTCCGTAAACAGCTCAAAAAGAGTCAAAATATTTTCAAAATTCTACAGTGTATAGGAAATGCTAATATGAACATTCAGTGAAATTTTCATGTATCTACAGTTATTCGTTTTTGAATTACAACAAAATAAGGAAATCGCTACATGAGAAATCGAGTGAATATCCAATGTTGTAAAAATTTGAATTTCAAACGCTCATAAAAATTTAATTTGACTTTCCGGTAGATATTTTTTTATTGTTAAATGTAGACAAACTAATGAGTAATCTTGTATTACATTTTAAAAACTTAGATTTAAAAAGAAAAATTTTTACGAATTCTTAACTCAAAATAATTTGATAATTTTCGTGATTTTTCCATATTTTGTCAATTTTTGAACTTAAAATGCTTATAAAAAGAAATTGTGACTAAGGATTTTTAATATTTTTCATCTGCCTTTGAAACAATTGACTAGGAGCCTTCTGTTAAATTTTCAAGCTTTCGAAATCTACAAATAAAATGTTATTGTTGTTTTTAGAAAAAAAAATGAAAATGAAAATGTCCCTAAACAGTTCAAAACAAATCATAATATTTTAAAAATGTTATCGTGTATAGAAAATGCAAATATAAACAACCAGTGAAAATTTCATGTGTATACGTTTATTTGTTTTAGAGTTATACCAAAAACCAAAATCGATTTTTTGGAAAACAGATTTTGCGTAAAAATTCCCGTTATTCCTTAATTTTTAAGTGTATGCGCTTGTGAAAACTATTGGGAATTTTAAAATTTGACCTCCCGAATGCACTAACTAGATTCACTTTCCAATCGAGCAAGATACTGAAGTTGAAAATCGAAGCATTATTTCGACACAGACACAGAAATGAAAAATAAAATTAAAAAAAAAAGAGTATACTATTTCAAATCTGTATCGATAAGTCACAATGGGCATTCTTAAAGAGCTTGTAAGTATTTAGAGTATAATATAAATTTAATTATGTAAATAAATATTTAAAAAAGGTGCTCTGCTGTACAGTAGGTTACAAGTGGGTCAATGTATAATGGATGATATTAAATTTGAATTCAACGATATAATATCATTGTATAAGAAAAACGATTCTGAGCGGAGACGGTATGTCAGTCTATGTATACATCAACAAAAACCGTGATACTATCATAGATAATATATAATACTATAATAGTACACTTTAGTAGTTTCAAGTACCCACGGGCCACGAATAATATTATTCAATCACAACAAAATAACTAAAATAGTTATTCTAGGGTTTTTAATATGTAATTTCGTTCAAATTTGAATTTAAAATGTCTGTAAAAAATAACTGTGTTCATATATTTTTTAGATTTTTTGGTTACAGTATGAACTATTTACGAGAACCTTTGTGTTGAATTTGCAATCCTTAGCTATAAAAACTGAACATTTTATAATTTATTAATTACAATGATTGATAATTTTCGAGATTTTGATAAATTTTGTCAAAATTTGATCTTTAAATGCTTATAAAAAAAAACTGTGCCTATGTATTTTTAATATTTTTCAACTGCTATTGTAACAATATATCAGGAGCCTTGTATTAAATTTTTACACTTTTTGGCAAAACAGATAAAACTTTATTGATATTTATAGAAAAAAAAACTAAAAAAAATTGAAAGCTTTAAATGTCCATAAACAGCTCAAAAAGAGTCAAAATATTTTCAAAATTCTACAGTGTATAGGAAATGCTAATATGAACATTCAGTGAAATTTTCATGTATCTACAGTTATTCGTTTTTGAATTACAACAAAATAAGGAAATCGCTACATGAGAAATCGAGTGAATATCCAATGTTGTAAAAATTTGAATTTCAAACGCTCATAAAAATTTAATTTGACTTTCCGGTAGATATTTTTTTATTGTTAAAGGTAGACAAACTAATGAGTAATCTTGTATTACATTTTAAAATCTTAGATTTAAAAGAAAAATTTTTACGAATTCTTAACTCAAAATAATTTGCTAATTTTCGTGATTTTTCCATATTTTGTCAATTTTTGAACTTTAAATGCTTACCTATAAAAAAAAATTGTGACTAAGGATTTTTAATATTTTTCATCTGCCTTTGAAACAATATATTAAGAGCCTTCTATTAAATTTTCAAGCTTTCGCAACCAACAAATAAAATGTTATTGATATTTTTAGAAAAAAAACTAAAAAAAAATGGAAAATGAAAATGTCCCTAAACAGTTCAAAATAAATCAAAATATTTTCAAAATTGTATGGTGTATAGAAATTGCAAATATAAACAACCAGTGAAAATTTCATGTATATACGTTCATTTGTTTTAGAGTTACACCAATAACCAAAATCGATTTTTTGGAAAACCAATTTTGCTTAAAAATTCCCGTTTTTCCTTAATTTTTAAGTTGTTTTTCCCGGCGCTTGTGAAAACTACTGGGAAATTTATACTTTTGACTTCCCAAAGTACCAACTAGATTCACTTTCCTATCAGAAAAGCTACTGATGAAGAAAATCCAAGCACTTTTACTGTCCTAAAACGTGATGACAGACACAAAAAAAAATAAAAAAATATAAAAATATAAAAAAAAATTGTTTGCAAATAAAATAAAATTGTTATTATATTACTATTGTTAACGCGCTCGAAATTCTAATGCTGCGGGCCGACCAGAACGATAAACATACTAGCTGGTAACCCACACCGTCGTCTGGGAGATTTTCTCGGAGATCGGTCTATGTGTTGAAATATTCTTATTTAGCTCATTACCAATTCTCGAACGAATCCTAAAATACACGCAAAAATTATTTTCGATATTCAAAACTTATAAAGTATGGCAACTAACAACTGCGACATCGACCGCGCCGCGGTAAACGTGTTACTAATG